TTTGCATTTGATCGCTCCCCTATATATATATATATATATATATATATATATATATATATATATAATATAATAATAATAATAATAATAATAATAATAATAATAATAATAATAATAATAAAAACATGCAAATAACGACACATCCTTCACACGTGCTTAACACTTAACATACACGAGATGAAGATATTTCCAACATTTAATAACATGAAAATTAATAGAAATGGTAATTACATAAAATTTATATAACGCACAAAAAATAAGTATGTTTCCTTCGTTGATCTGTAGCTGAAAGTTTTCGTTGTTGATTCATCGCTGATAGTATTACCTACGAGTTTTTGACCGACGAACGATCAACGACGGATCAACGACGGAAGATGCCTTTAGCGACGGATTTGCAAGAGATTTTTCCATCGCTGATACTCTTCATTTTTTTAGTGAATAGCAGTCAATAATTTACGATCTGAATAAATATCGAAAAAAGGTTTTGGAGTTAACTCCTTTGGTACTAATTCTAAAATAAGGTGCCACTGTTAGAAATGTTAGAAATCACAGTACCACCAATGATATAATAGTACAAACAATAAATATCACTAGTCAAAGATAACTGTCGAAAATCTGACGGATTAATTAGCCAGTAAAGTGAATTTTTATTTAACTTGCTGATTTCTTTAAAGATCCCTTGATAAGTCATATAATTTGTATACGTTACCGACGGATGACAGTCGATATTATATTAATCTAACTTTAATTTCTTTTTGGGAATTTTGTCAAACATGAAATATACAGTATACTCGTATGATCATTACAATCAAATAAAATTTTAGCATGTTAGTACATAGATAACCGGGGTTGGGTTCACGTGAGACCCGTAAGACCAATTTATGTTCATTGATCAATTTTATAAGCTAATGATCTAAAGTTGTACGGTGACAATTTTGTGATTATTGAGAAGTCTCCTGACAATTTTGTGATTATGAATGTTCAGATTGTAAATCTAATCCAATGGTTGAGAATTTGTCTTATGGGTCTCACGAAAAACCCTTTGTCTCACATGATCTCAAGTCTCGATAACCATCCTAATAAAGTACTAACGAGACTTTTAAGTTTACAACGTTCATTATTATAAGTTGTTTAAACGAAATTGATCTTTCTAACGAGTTCTAATTGGTCTTATGGGTCTCACGAAAAACCCTTGGTCTCACATCTTGGAACGAATTCCTAACACTGTCTTGGTAAAATATTTTAAAAACCAAGTATTGTTGTAGTCGATATTTACGTCTTATTTTACATATAAAGAACACATAAAATGTACTGAACACAACGACGTGCAAGAACACAAATATAATACACTTATTAGCTCGACAAGTAGACAATATGTTATGAAAGAAGACAATACATTGAAGTTGAGACCAATGATCATATATCAATTATAGTATGGGCCCGTTCAGTTTATATATATCTGACTATTGATAAAGCAACTTACTGATTGAATATGGATAACTCATTCTGTATTAGTAATTCAAATATCTGATCAAATAATGTTGACTTGGTGTTATGGTTTTCAATGGGATAGGTTGTGAACTCAACTTTTATTTTTAATTAAAAGTGTGAGGTTTCGTTTTGTAAACATTAGAAGCGAATCCATGCAATGTAGCACGACACATCTCAATTTCGAAACCGATAACTCAATCCTTTAATCTTGATTCATGTTTCTTCTTTGTCCATCTCGAGTTTATTTTATGGTT